TGCACAACATACCAACTATGCCCTGTGCTGAAATAAACATACACGACATCCGCTACGCCATTAACAGAACACACAACTGGAAGACACCTGGTGTAGACAACATTCACAATTTCTGGTACAAAAAGTGTACATCACTGCACCAGGAACTAGCTAAACATCTAACACACATCATCATCAATCCACAAGACATGCCAAAATTTCTTACTCAGGCATCACCTACATGAAACCTAAAAACAACAACACCACAGACCCCACACAATACAGACCAATTACATGTCTCCCAACACTATACAAATTATTGACATCATGTATCACAAACAAAATATACAAACATGTTGAAGAACACAACATTCTTACAAAACAACAAAAAGGTTGCCGTAGAAATCACAGGGGATGCAAAGAACAGTTACTCATAGATTCAGTCATTTTACGGCAAGCACACAAACAACACAGAAACATACACATGGCATATATAGACTACAGAAAAGCATTTGACAGTGTTCCACACAGTTGGCTGCTACATATTCTACACATGTACAAAATACATCCATCACCTCATTGCATTCTTCGAAAACACTATGCAGCACTGGATAACAACACTGCATCTCAGGGTTAGTAACACTTTCATACAAACAAATGAGATATTCATTAGGCGAGGAATTTTTCAAGGAGATTCCTTGAGTCCTCTCTGGTTCTGCCTAGCCCTGAACCCATTATCCAACATGTTAAACAACACGCAATATGGCTACAATATCAGACATGAAAAACAACACAGTCTCACATCTCATGTACATGGACGACATAAAACTTTATGCATCCACACAGAAACAACTTCAGCATCTCCTACAAATCACACACTCATACACCAAGGACATACAAATGGAGTTTGGCATGGACAAATGCAAAAACACTTCACATAGAAAAAGGAATCCTGAAGAAAGAAGATTTTGCACTTGGAAATGGGGACATTATTGAATCCATGGAAGAGGGTGAGTTCTACAAGTATTTAGGATTCCAACAGGCCAAGCTAACAGAACATACACAAATAAAGCAACGATTAATTAAAGAATACCAAAGTAGGTTAAACGCTATACTTAGAACACAGTTAAATGCAAAATACAAAGTTAAAGCAATAAACACATATGTCATTCCTGTAATCACATACTCTTTTGGAGTTATACATTGAACTCGCACAGATCTCAAGCAACTCCAAAGGAAAACAAGAACAATGCTTACTAAGCATAAACAATATCACCCTAAATCCACCATAGAAAGATTAACCCTTCCACGTAAAGATGGCAGACGTGGCCTGATTAACATAGTTAACCTTCACTACAAACAAATACAGTCACTGCAAGAGTTTTCTACAGGAAACAAGAAACATCACAATTACATAAAGCAGTAACTCTAGCAGACTCAAATAGCACACCATTAAACTTATGTCAAGTCTGTATGATGTGAATGTAACATATAAAAAGCATAGACACCATCAAGCAATCGTGGGCTCGAAAGGCACTCCATGGCAGGCATCCTTATGACCTGGCCCAGGATTTTGATGACAAAACTGCGTCAGACAGATGGTTAGATCGGGGATGCCTCTTTGGGGAGACGGAAGGATTCATGATTGCCATACAGGATCAGGTCATAAATACTAAAAACTACAGAAAACACATACTCAAAGATACAACACTCACAAATGACACATCAGAAAATGTCACATCATGCCAGAAACTACACAACACATTACCTCTGGGAGCAAGCTCTTGGCACATACAGATTATTTACACAGACATAATCAAGTAGCAAATATAATACACCAAGAGCTTGCAAACAAACACAAATAATTAGACATCCACAAACCATACTACAAATACATTCCACAGACAGTATTGGAAAACTACACGCACAAAATGTACTACGACAGAGCCATAATGACAGATAAAACAATTTACCACAACAGACCAGACATCACACTCATTGACAAACACAATAAAATCACATACATTATACAGACATAGCCATTCCAAACACTCACAATGTACAAAACACATGCAGTGAAAAAATCAGCAAGTGCACAGAACTCACCCAGGAAATAAGGCATGTGTGGAGAATGGAAAAGGTGCTTATTGTACCTGTCGTTCTCTCCTGTACATGTGTGATACCACACACACACTGCACAAAAGCCTGGGAACATTATGATTGAATAGAAATACATACATCACACTACAGAAGGCTACTATATTAAATACATGCCATATTGTTAAGAAATTCCTGAATACAGGCACTGACACACTTATTTTATTTTTGTTTTGGTTGCTATGCCTTGACTCTGGTCCGGCATAGTACACAGCCACCAGTGTGAACCGAGTATAATCCACTAAACCCAACATAATAATAATAATTCAAAAGTTTAACAAAAAGAATATGGAAGTTATGATTATTATTTATATAAATTATATTTGACAGTAAAAGTTACTTTTAAATAAGGCTTAATATTCTGTACAAAGTATGTTATTTTAAGTCAAAGCATAAGGAAANGCCACTATATTGAATACATGCCATATTGTTAGGAAATTCCTGAATACGGACACTGACACACTTATTTAATTTTAGTTCTTGGTTGCTATGCCTTGACTCTGATCTGGCATAGTACACAGCCACCAGTGTGAACCGAGTATAATCCACTAAACCCAACATAATAATAATAATAATAATTCAAAAGTTTAACAAAAAGAATATGGAAGTTATGATTATTATTTATATAAATTATATTTGACAGTAAAAGTTACTTTTAAATAAGGCTTAATATTCTGTACAAAGTATGTTATTTTAAGTCAAAGCATAAGGAAAATCAGCATGTTAATTATAATTTTAATTGGAAAAGATTTGTACTAGTGCATGATTGAATTATGATTTAGAACCCTATTCTGAATCATGACTTCATATCCTACTAATCTCTACTTCTAAGTTTTACAATTAATTAAAAAGTATGTTGTATGATCTCCTATATTATAGGTTGTTGGAAATGTTTAAAATAGAAGCAGACGTTTAAGATAGAAGCAACTGACATGCTGCACATTTAAAGGGGAGACCAGCATCATCATACAGCCACACAGGTGGTTCTGTGAAAATGTGTTTGTGAAACACGTGATAAGATGACAAAACCAATAATAATCAAATTGTTTTATTAGTCGAATGGGTTGACAGAGAATGAAATGCCCGTCACAGAGACAATCATATATAGATATCATTACATCTTCTCTCATGTTCGAACCTCTTGCGCAAATTCAATATACATATAATCCTGATTTAAACTAAGATAATTATAATAAAACCTAGTACTATTACTACTAGAATGAAGAAAGGATAGTTATGAAATCTACTGGTAGCTAGATCTGTGGGTCCTGAACTGGGTGAATATTGACGTTTATCACTTTGTGCACAGTGAATGTCGACTCTGTTGTCCTGTTTGCAGTTTGTGTAATGCAAAAATGCATGTGTATATAGAAAATTAAATATATTCTTATTTTAACAAGTATCTCCAAATTTCTTCTTTAATTTTGCATTTCAAATCGAAATAAATTTATCCTTGTGTTGTATCATATGAGCCATTGACATAGCTTTTTATTTTGAAACCTAGTTAGTTAAAGCCTCATATGTCAGAATAACCTCTAAATGAAAAGATACTCTATTTGAAAATATAAAATGAATTCCATGGCTTGAACTCAAAGGAACTTGCAGTTTACTGCATGTACAGAACATGAAATCTATACCATGACCTTGAAACTAATGAACCAATATGGTGGCTCCATAGGGAACATTGCTGCCCTGACCTTGTGTTTACAGACATTGTTCTGTATAAAGCTATAATACATCCTCTAATGATGGTTTTTAGAACTAACTTTTTTTGCTCTAAAAAAATTCACATCATCTCATTAAGGCATTCCCAAACTTTCATGACTTTCAGATTAAATAGTTTTTGCTGTAGCCAGCTGAGAAATGTCAAGTTTAATTTGGAACACCCTGTATATTAATTATAAATTGCATTTTTAATGTTAAAATTAATAAAGTAACAAATTTTAACTGTATCCAACATAATGATGAAAGTGCTGGATTTTCAAGTAATTTTTGAGACAAACAAAAAACTCAAAGTTTATTTAAACTGTTCAGTATATTTTAACTGATTTTATTCTCTGAAGAGCCAATAAATATATTAAACTTTCATGAAAAAATAATAATACGAGTTCAATCTTATTTCTAAAAGTAAAATAAATAAATAAAATACTTTTTGAATTTATAAACATAGCTGAACTTTTACTACTGTTAATTTGTGATTTGGAATTTGGTAAAGAATGTTCTATCAAAATCTTTAATTTTCATAAATCACATATGATTTATGAAGAATATAAATATGGTTCAATACTCATAATAAATTTTAAAAGCAAGAATATCAAACCAAATTTTAATTATTTCATAAAAATCTTTAAAAATATATATATTTTGGAAGAAAACTATTTTATATGATTATATTATTAAAGTATAAATTTGAAATTCCTTTAAATCTCAAAAAATTTTTCTTCCATAATTCAATGTGCATAACATTTTAATATCAATTCAATTTCATCATAATTGGTTTCCATCTGGATTACATGAAACTATCATTAAGGTTTAAAAAATATAGCTGAATATCTTTATTTAAAAAAATACAAATCAATGTTGTAGTAAATTCATCTCATATGACATCACATCAAATTTATATAATCAATATACTTTCAACTTTTGATTCCATTATCATTTTAAATGTCTTTAGATGCCATTCTCTTTGACATAATAGTTAAGTAGTAGCTAATAATTTAAATTTATCAAATATTTTCTTGTAACAAAAATTCAGTAGAAATAATTCACTTTATGAACATATATATTTATGCCTATAAACAAGTTATACATTTTATTCTTTCGTTGAGTAAATGTTTTAAATATATAAATAAAAAATTATTAACCTGATATTCTCTTGGAGTAAAAGTTTTAGTATTGACGTTTTCAACTAAATGTTGGCGACGTCCACGAGTAGATGATTCAGGAATTTTACTCTCCATCTATTTAAAAAAAAATGAATGATTATTAATATCAAAAAAATTAAAATGCATTCTTTTCTCCAAAATTGATAATAATTACTTCTTGAAAAGAAATATTTATTAATTATATGTATATGCAGTCTCAAACTTGTATGAAAATCCAGTTATGTAACTTCAAATGTAAATTTTGCATAAAATTAATACAATCAAAGATACTTTCTGTATAATTTTATAATAATGCAATTGATTTTAATGTATAGTAAGACCCCAACATATAAAGACTTGACAGATGCAGTTTTAGGTTTACACTATCAGAGAAGAAAAAATGGAAATTACATAGAGCACAATTAAGAATTTTATTTTAAATCCACATCATATTTTTAAGGTGCATGAAGTCTTGCAGCATCTTGCTCATTCTCATTTTGGGAAACTACTACTGTGACTCATTGTTTTGCATTAAATACTTAGACTTGCATGTCTGAATTGTTGTTTTTAAATACCTGAAGAGGGCTGTAAACATTCATACAAAATTAATTAATTGCTAAACTCACAAGTTCTTTGATATGTTTTTTCAATACAGAGTAAGAAGATAAAAAAGAAAAAAATTTTAAAGATTACTAAATTACATTAAATTTCCTTAAAATCTTTCATTTTTGAAATTTTCATTAAAATCTCCACCTTTAAAATTTAATTATATATAGTTTTTATATATAAAGAAATACATATATAAAAATATAATTTATACAATATAATGTATTTCAGTACTACATGATTTATATAACTAAACTAACATAGTTATATATGTTTAGCATTGAGATTTATTTACAAACATTTTTTAAAAGTGAAATAAAAACACAACCAGCAAATTTTTATTGACCTAAACTAACTAATCTATCTTCAAAATTAAAGTTTTCTTACTCAAGAATACAAAGTAAACCTTCTAATAACTATTAAAATATTTTTGTAATTATTCTGTACATTAACACTTCTTATAATGGAACCAGCACAGATTTTTTTTACCAGTGAAAATGTAACTGGTAAGCAAAAAACTAAATACCATTATATCAAAAATTATCATAGAAAATGTAAGTACTACTATAAATATTATAACTGACTCATAAACTAAAAATCATAAAAGTTTTTATAATATTGGTATTATAATACTTGTAGTATTAATTTTAAAAAACAAAACCTAATGCTGAGCTTCATACAGATGAAATATTATAATAAACTTTGTAGATTCATAAAAAAAATGTCAAAAACAAGAAGTCTGCTCACTAATATAAAATATCTTTTACAGGTTATAATACTAATTTTAATACAGTTTTGCTTGTTTCATGACATTTATAATTATGAATAAAATTTAAAATTTTTTAACTACATGTATAAAGAAAGAGAAAGTAAATATAATGAAACAATGAAATAAGGTAGCTACCGTGTTTCCCCGAAAATAAGACATCCTCTGAAAATAAGACCTACAATAGGTTTTGCTGAATTGCTAAATATAAGGCCTCTCCCCAAAAGTAAGACCTAGCAAAGTTTTTTTTTACTCGTAACGGTCATCGACAGATGGTTGAAAGTGGCCGTTGGCTTTTTGAAAGTACAGCCACTGATCGGTCAGCAGACAATTACACCACACGGCATGATTTGCATAAGACTATGGCTTGGGAATCACAGATTTGCATAACGTTATGGCTGGTGATGGCTAACTGGTCAGCCGGGAATCACGCCACATGACATTTGCATAGTGCTACGGTTCAGTAAGCACTAATTGGTCATCGAGTCCGATGTTGACGCTATAAAAAAGTTAAGTTGAAGCGAGAGTGAGAAGTCCACTCCAGCACAGGAACTTTGTAAGTTCAGTTCGGTTTTATTTAAGTTCAGTTCAACACGACCGGATATATGTCACTCTCACCTAAGTTTGACTTTTAATTTTTTTGTTCAATAATAAATGTGAATTCTTCTTCGTGGAAAAAATAAGACATTCCCTGAAAATAAGACCTAGTGCATCTTTCAGAGCAAAAATTAATATAAGACAGTGTCTTATTTTCGGGGAAACACGGTATGTCTTTACATTGCAAAAGTTCAGCAGTTCAATATAAAGTTATTGATGTATAATATCCTATTACACTAATAAACTCTTATCTCATATTCACTATGAACATTCTAAACAGTTTTCTTAATTGAAATATGTAAATCAACCTTGTTAATTATGATAATGTAATAAATTGACTAAATACTTGTTTCACAGTTTAGGATAAACCAGTCAAATTTTAATCAAAAATAATGTATGTTAAATCCTAAAAATAATTTAATACAATCTCTCAAATATTTTATACTTATAAATTATTAATTTGTTGATATGACACAATTATGCAAGTTACAACTAAAACTTGCATAATTATGAAATTATAAGATAGAAGTTGGGGTTAACAAAATATCTAAACTTTAACAGCTATATAAAAAACAAAAAAAAATCTTTTTTGCAATTTTACAAATATAAAATTTCATTACATTAAAAATTTAATTAAAAAATCAAATATTTTAAATTGAAATAGTTCACATAACTGGCAGAACTTAGTTCAGTTGAATAAAATAACTATGAAAATGAAGACATTACAAATTAATACAGGACATCAGAACACTGTTATTTATACTGAAAAATTTCATAATTTTTCTATCATAATTTAGTTGTGAAAGAGTATACAGAGTTAGTTCTGATTTTAAAATAACAGTTTAAAGTATTTCAAAAAGAAAATTTTTTAAACTTGATTAATAAGTGACTATATGCTTAAAATTACTTGTGTGATTTTTTTTCTACATTGGTCTTGAAACTGAACAGCTTGTTATATATTTTTATTATGAAAATGGTAACTTATCCCATTCCATTAATTTAAGCTATTTTAAAACTTCAATGACAAATTTGAAATCTGAATACCTTTACATATATTAATAATGATTTAATATTTATATCTATATATTGTTTAAATACAATACACTGAATTTATATTTATCCAATTCATGAATAGACATTTTTTAGTAAACTTCTTGATTGATTATTTGGCCTTTAATGATTTTGTAGCAATCATTATTATTAATATATAATGAATATTGGCAAATCTGATTAATATATAAATGAAATCACATTTATAAATGTTAAACCAATTTGTCTTAAGAATTTTAATCAATAAAATGACAATTCAGAACAAATTTAAAATATTTCCTTTTATATTCTAACTTCTGACTAAATTTTATATCATTTAATTTTTTAAAATATATTCACTTCTAAAAACAATTTTTATAGTATAAATATTGTGACAGTCAGATGGTCAAGATGGTTAAGGCATCAGCCTGTCACTCTGGAATAGCCAGAATCAAATCCAGATGGTTGAAAAACCCTGAAATTTTTTAGAGTTAGAGTTAATCTTGTCCCAGACATGCTAGGCCCCACCCAGCCACTTCCAGTGTGGGCCTGGCCAAACCCAATATGGGTAGATTTAAAGGCGTTCTTAAGTCCCAGAGAGCAGTAAGAGTCAAAATAAATAAAAATTTATATATGTTATACTATTGTACTATACAGTATATTGGCTAAAATAATTAGTAATGTGTCAAGTAATTAAGCTAAATTAATGTGATATCATCATAATTGATCAAAAGCTTTCACATGAAAAACTTAAATACCTTTCAGATAGAAATGTAATAGAATCACATTAAAAGTTTAACATAATTTATTATCACTTTTTTAATTTTGTAGGACTAAATTTATAATTATAAAATTATTTGTGAATTGTCTTAAATCTTTCAATATTTTCTATAGTTTACTTAAATAACTAATTATTTTTACCATCTTTTTTATACAGAGTTTTTTCTGGTTATGATATTGTACAGTACATACAAACAGAATCATATCCTAATTTAATAAATATGAATCTTAACAAACTATGACCTTTGTAGTTTTGCACCAAGAAGTTTAACCAACCATCCAATCTAAATGTCAATATTATAATTTTTCCAAAATTAAACTGATCTGTATTTAATAATTGTTTTATACAGAGTTCTATGGTTAGTGATAATCTTTTTAGATTATAATTAATCACAGTGATTACTTTGATAAAATAAGAAAAGGGACCAACCATTAATTACATGTACAGTTTAAAGGAGAGGGGATCATAAAAAATGCATCACTATACTGTACATGATGAGAAGGGATTGTCTACATCAGTGTTTCTCAACCTCTAACGAATCGTCGCCCCCTTCAACATAGTATCACCCCCTTAATAAAACCATTATGTAGTATCCCCCCTTCACTTCAAAATTCTGATGCTGAGGGCCAAGGATAATGCCAAATTTGTACTGCATTGAATAGACCAGTGACTAGTATAATGTTATTTGTTTAATTATTGTACAATATAACAAATAAAATATCTAATTATTCTTAATATAATGTTTTACTATATTGCCCAGAAAATTGTTTTTCGCCCCCAAATATAAATTGTTACTAATCGCCCCTCAACATAGAAAAATGCCCACATGGGGGTGATATTGCCCCCATTGAGAAACACTGATCTACATGGTCTTTTTTAGTGGTACACAAATGTGTTCTTTCATGCCTAATTATTAGTCCTGAATAAACTACCATTTTAAAAAATTCTGCACATATTTTAAGTTATTTCTTCAATGTTAGGGGTCCATGAATTATTGTACATTAAATTGAAGAAGATGGAGTTTGCCAAAATTACATCATTGTACAGAAAGTGGAGGAAGGGAGTCATAAATTGCTCAAAAACTGTACTTGCAATTAATGGACAGTCAAAAGTTCACAAAGACAATCTTAAATTTAATTAAATCAAAACTTTATTATAAGATAAAATTAGAATCTCTGTTTAGAGAAATCATATTAAAATGTTTTTCAGATCTCTTTTTGTTAATCACATCATCATTCTTCATTTTTCCATAGGTTACGACTTTAGATGTCATAGATTACTGATTTGAAAGTTAAGATATTACAGAAAGAATATATAATGCAGGCTGTTAAAATCATAACATTTTCATTATGATAATACAACATTTTATAAAAATTANATTATTAATTTAATTCATATTTTTAAACATTTTTACTTCAGCAGATCAAAATAAATTTTACATCAGACTTAACAGATTTAAAGAAAATTTAAATTTAAATTTAAAATTATTAATTTAGTCAAATCAAAGAGATTTACCTTCAGAAAGTGAACAAATGTTAACTTCACCACAATTTAAATAAAATTGATTTCAAATTTCTTATTTATAGCATTTTTAAATCATAAACAATTTAGGAACTCGATTCAAAAAAATGAGCTATTGAAAGATCCGAAACGCAAACATTACAATCAGATTTAAAAGTGTCATTATTTAAAATTTCCCAGCAAAAAGGCATGTTCTACTTAAAACGCTATATGAATGCAAAACTATAATTCCGATCATGCATGTGATTCCGTTTGGAAGAACAAAATATGTAATCAAAATGGCGAATGACGATGCCATCTGATGGGCTAAAATAAAACATAACCAAAAACCAAATAATTAATGATGTAATAAAAAAAAAATAAAAATAAAAATTATAAAAACATAGCAAATTAAATAATTATACACGAAAATAAAGGAATAAGATCAGAATATTTTCTTAAAATTACTTATCAGTAATTCTTTAAAATATATTTATTATTCATATTTAGAGTTAGGCAAAGTTCAGCTATTTGGAAATACCGATTAAGCTATGAATTTGGACAGGAGCTGAAAGCAGTTGTAATATTGTCTATTTCTGAAATTAAATTGCATCTGTAATAGTAACGAGGTTGCGGCCGAAGTTTTCATATGTAAAACGTGAACGTCGAGAGCCGCAGCCTTGCTAATAGCGGATACACGACGTGTCGGTTATGTTTTCATTTACCTGTTATTAAAATGAGAGTATTCAAATTAAAAATAATCGAACATTAAGCAGTTGAACTATAAAATTTTTTTAGATTAAGAGAATTATTAAAATTAACAAAGGGTAACATTTTAAAACGATACGAATAAATAACGACAATCATTTCTATCAAAACATGTACAGCACAGGCCGGATGGCCGAGCTCAAAATTCTGATGCTGAGGGCCAAGTATGTAGGCATTTTCATACTGCATTGAATAGACTAGTGACTAGTATAATGTTATTTGTTTAATTNATATTTTAACTGATTTTATTCTCTGAAGAGCCAATAAATATATTAAACTTTCATGAAAAAATAATAATACGAGTTCAATCTTATTTCTAAAAGTAAAATAAATAAATAAAATACTTTTTGAATTTATAAACATAGCTGAACTTTTACTACTGTTAATTTGTGATTTGGAATTTGGTAAAGAATGTTCTATCAAAATCTTTAATTTTCATAAATCACATATGATTTATGAAGAATATAAATATGGTTCAATACTCATAATAAATTTTAAAAGCAAGAATATCAAACCAAATTTTAATTATTTCATAAAAATCTTTAAAAATATATATATTTTGGAAGAAAACTATTTTATATGATTATATTATTAAAGTATAAATTTGAAATTCCTTTAAATCTCAAAAAATTTTTCTTCCATAATTCAATGTGCATAACATTTTAATATCAATTCAATTTCATCATAATTGGTTTCCATCTGGATTACATGAAACTATCATTAAGGTTTAAAAAATATAGCTGAATATCTTTATTTAAAAAAATACAAATCAATGTTGTAGTAAATTCATCTCATATGACATCACATCAAATTTATATAATCAATATACTTTCAACTTTTGATTCCATTATCATTTTAAATGTCTTTAGATGCCATTCTCTTTGACATAATAGTTAAGTAGTAGCTAATAATTTAAATTTATCAAATATTTTCTTGTAACAAAAATTCAGTAGAAATAATTCACTTTATGAACATATATATTTATGCCTATAAACAAGTTATACATTTTATTCTTTCGTTGAGTAAATGTTTTAAATATATAAATAAAAAATTATTAACCTGATATTCTCTTGGAGTAAAAGTTTTAGTATTGACGTTTTCAACTAAATGTTGGCGACGTCCACGAGTAGATGATTCAGGAATTTTACTCTCCATCTATTTAAAAAAAAATGAATGATTATTAATATCAAAAAAATTAAAATGCATTCTTTTCTCCAAAATTGATAATAATTACTTCTTGAAAGGAAATATTTATTAATTATATGTATATGCAGTCTCAAACTTGTATGAAAATCCAGTTATGTAACTTCAAATGTAAATTTTGCATAAAATTAATACAATCAAAGATACTTTCTGTATAATTTTATAATAATGCAATTGATTTTAATGTATAGTAAGACCCCAACATATAAAGACTTGACAGATGCAGTTTTAGGTTTACACTATCAGAGAAGAAAAAATGGAAATTACATAGAGCACAATTAAGAATTTTATTTTAAATCCACATCATATTTTTAAGGTGCATGAAGTCTTGCAGCATCTTGCTCATTCTCATTTTGGGAAACTACTACTGTGACTCATTGTTTTGCATTAAATACTTAGACTTGCATGTCTGAATTGTTGTTTTTAAATACCTGAAGAGGGCTGTAAACATTCATACAAAATTAATTAATTGCTAAACTCACAAGTTCTTTGATATGTTTTTTCAATACAGAGTAAGAAGATAAAAAAGAAAAAAATTTTAAAGATTACTAAATTACATTAAATTTCCTTAAAATCTTTCATTTTTGAAATTTTCATTAAAATCTCCACCTTTAAAATTTAATTATATATAGTTTTTATATATAAAGAAATACATATATAAAAATATAATTTATACAATATAATGTATTTCAGTACTACATGATTTATATAACTAAACTAACATAGTTATATATGTTTAGCATTGAGATTTATTTACAAACATTTTTTAAAAGTGAAATAAAAACACAACCAGCAAATTTTTATTGACCTAAACTAACTAATCTATCTTCAAAATTAAAGTTTTCTTACTCAAGAATACAAAGTAAACCTTCTAATAACTATTAAAATATTTTTGTAATTATTCTGTACATTAACACTTCTTATAATGGAACCAGCACAGATTTTTTTTACCAGTGAAAATGTAACTGGTAAGCAAAAAACTAAATACCATTATATCAAAAATTATCATAGAAAATGTAAGTACTACTATAAATATTATAACTGACTCATAAACTAAAAATCATAAAAGTTTTTATAATATTGGTATTATAATACTTGTAGTATTAATTTTAAAAAACAAAACCTAATGCTGAGCTTCATACAGATGAAATATTATAATAAACTTTGTAGATTCATAAAAAAATGTCAAAAACAAGAAGTCTGCTCACTAATATAAAATATCTTTTACAGGTTATAATACTAATTTTAATACAGTTTTGCTTGTTTCATGACATTTATAATTATGAATAAAATTTAAAATTTTTTAACTACATGTATAAAGAAAGAGAAAGTAAATATAATGAAACAATGAAATAAGGTAGCTACCGTGTTTCCCCGAAAATAAGACATCCTCTGAAAATAAGACCTACAATAGGTTTTGCTGAATTGCTAAATATAAGGCCTCCCCCCAAAAGTAAGACCTAGCAAAGTTTTTTTTTACTCGTAACGGTCATCGACAGATGGTTGAAAGTGGCCGTTGGCTTTTTGAAAGTACAGCCACTGATTGGTCAGCAGACAATTACACCACACGGCATGATTTGCATAAGACTATGGCTTGGGAATCACAGATTTGCATAACGTTACGGCTGGTGATGGCTAACTGGTCAGCCGGGAATCACGCCACATGACATTTGCATAGTGCTACGGTTCAGTAAGCACTAATTGGTCATCGAGTCCGATGTTGACGCTATAAAAAAGTTAAGTTGAAGCGAGAGTGAGAAGTCCACTCCAGCACAGGAACTTTGTAAGTTCAGTTCGGTTTTATTTAAGTTCAGTTCAACACGACCGGATATATGTCACTCTCACCTAAGTTTGACTTTTAATTTTTTTGTTCAATAATAAATGTGAATTCTTCTTCGTGGAAAAAATAAGACATTCCCTGAAAATAAGACCTAGTGCATCTTTCAGAGCAAAAATTAATATAAGACAGTGTCTTATTTTCGGGGAAACACGGTATGTCTTTACATTGCAAAAGTTCAGCAGTTCAATATAAAGTTATTGATGTATAATATCCTATTACACTAATAAACTCTTATCTCATATTCACTATGAACATTCTAAACAGTTTTCTTAATTGAAATATGTAAATCAACCTTGTTAATTATGATAATGTAATAAATTGACTAAATACTTGTTTCACAGTTTAGGATAAACCAGTCAAATTTTAATCAAAAATAATGTATGTTAAATCCTAAAAATAATTTAATACAATCTCTCAAATATTTTATACTTATAAATTATTAATTTGTTGATATGACGCAATTATGCAAGTTACAACTAAAACTTGCATAATTATGAAATTATAAGATAGAAGTTGGGGTTAACAAAATATCTAAACTTTAACAGCTATATAAAAAACAAAAAAAAATCTTTTTTGCAATTTTACAAATATAAAATTTCATTACATTAAAAATTTAATTAAAAAATCAAATATTTTAAATTGAAATAGTTCACATAACTGGCAGAACTTAGTTCAGTTGAATAAAATAACTATGAAAATGAAGACATTACAAATTAATACAGGACATCAGAACACTGTTATTTATACTGAAAAATTTCATAATTTTTCTATCATAATTTAGTTGTGAAAGAGTATACAGAGTTAGTTCTGATTTTAAAATAACAGTTTAAAGTATTTCAAAAAGAAAATTTTTTAAACTTGATTAATAAGTGACTATATGCTTAAAATTACTTGTGTGATTTTTTTTCTACATTGGTCTTGAAACTGAACAGCTTGTTATATATTTTTATTATGAAAATGGTAACTTATCCCATTCCATTAATTTAAGCTATTTTAAAACTTCAATGACAAATTTGAAATCTGAATACCTTTACATATATTAATAATGATTTAATATTTATATCTATATATTGTTTAAATACAATACACTGAATTTATATTTATCCAATTCATGAATAGACATTTTTTAGTAAACTTCTTGATTGATTATTTGGCCTTTAATGATTTTGTAGCAATCATTATTATTAATATATAATGAATATTGGCAAATCTGATTAATATATAAATGAAATCACATTTATAAATGTTAAACCAATTTGTCTTAAGAATTTTAATCAATAAAATGACAATTCAGAACAAATTTAAAATATTTCCTTTTATATTCTAACTTCTGACTAAATTTTATATCATTTAATTTTTTAAAATATATTCACTTCTAAAAACAATTTTTATAGTATAAATATTGTGACAGTCAGATGGTCAAGATGGTTAAGGCATCAGCCTGTCACTCTGGAATAGCCAGAATCAAATCCAGATGGTTGAAAAACCCTGAAATTTTTTAGAGTTAGAGTTAATCTTGTCCCAGACATGCTAGGCCCCACCCAGCCACTTCCAGTGTGGGCCTGGCCAAACCCAATATGGGTAGATTTAAAGGCGTTCTTAAGTCCCAGAGAGCAGTAAGAGTCAAAATAAATAAAAATTTATATATGTTATACTATTGTACTATACAGTATATTGGCTAAAATAATTAGTAATGTGTCAAGTAATTAAGCTAAATTAATGTGATATCATCATAATTGATCAAAAGCTTTCACATGAAAAACTTAAATACCTTTCAGATAGAAATGTAATAGAATCACATTAAAAGTTTAACATAATTTATTATCACTTTTTTAATTTTGTAGGACTAAATTTATAATTATAAAATTATTTGTGAATTGTCTTAAATCTTTCAATATTTTCTATAGTTTACTTAAATAACTAATTATTTTTACCATCTTTTTTATACAGAGTTTTTTCTGGTTATGATATTGTACAGTACATACAAACAGAATCATATCCTAATTTAATAAATATGAATCTTAACAAACTATGACCTTTGTAGTTTTGCACCAAGAAGTTTAACCAACCATCCAATCTAAATGTCAATATTATAATTTTTCCAAAATTAAACTGATCTGTATTTAATAATTGTTTTATACAGAGTTCTATGGTTAGTGATAATCTTTTTAGATTATAATTAATCACAGTGATTACTTTGATAAAATAAGAAAAGGGACCAACCATTAATTACATGTACAGTTTAAAGGAGAGGGGATCATAAAAAATGCATCACTATACTGTACATGATGAGAAGGGATTGTCTACATCAGTGTTTCTCAACCTCTAACGAATCGTCGCCCCCTTCAACATAGTATCACCCCCTTAATAAAACCATTATGTAGTATCCCCCCTTCACTTCAAAATTCTGATGCTGAGGGCCAAGGATAATGCCAAATTTGTACTGCATTGAATAGACCAGTGACTAGTATAATGTTATTTGTTTAATTATTGTACAATATAACAAATAAAATATCTAATTATTCTTAATATAATGTTTTACTATATTGCCCAGAAAATTGTTTTTCGCCCCCAAATATAAATTGTTACTAATCGCCCCTCAACATAGAAAAATGCCCACATGGGGGTGATATTGCCCCCATTGAGAAACACTGATCTACATGGTCTTTTTTAGTGGTACACAAATGTGTTCTTTCATGCCTAATTATTAGTCCTGAATAAACTACCATTTTAAAAAATTCTGCACATATTTTAAGTTATTTCTTCAATGTTAGGGGTCCATGAATTATTGTACATTAAATTGAAGAAGATGGAGTTTGCCAAAATTACATCATTGTACAGAAAGTGGAGGAAGGGAGTCATAAATTGCTCAAAAACTGTACTTGCAATTAATGGACAGTCAAAAGTTCACAAAGACAATCTTAAATTTAATTAAATCAAAACTTTATTATAAGATAAAATTAGAATCTCTGTTTAGAGAAATCATATTAAAATGTTTTTCAGATCTCTTTTTGTTAATCACATCATCATTCTTCATTTTTCCATAGGTTACGACTTTAGATGTCATAGATTACTGATTTGAAAGTTAAGATATTACAGAAAGAATATATAATGCAGGCTGTTAAAATCATAACATTTTCATTATGATAATACAACATTTTATAAAAATTATTAGTATTATTATTAATAATCTGAAAATTTAACATATTCCCAGACTGCCAAAATATTTACATGTTTTAATTTCTCATCATAAAATAGATTAAAATATCTAATCTTATTCTGCCTTTATTATGACAGAATAATACACTACATATTCTATTATCCTTGTTAAATAAGATGACTTTATTGTTATTATATGTAAAAGCTTTGTTATTTAGCAAACAACAAATTAAAATTTTTTTGATATGAATATCTCCTAATTATCTGCATAATCCATTTAATCAGTTAACAATTATAAAGAAATTTACCATTTAATAATTTCAAAAACTTTGTTAATATTAAACCATATCATTAAAATGTTCACTAATGGTAAAAATATATCATATGAAAGCAGAATGTTTAGATTTGAAAAAGGTAAGAAATTACATTCAAGCAGAAGAAAAATTCTAGAATGTTCTATTCAATTTTAAGTAATTTTCAAGAGCTATAAAAATGTAAATAGCTAAAATTATATAACTTAATTAAAAGAATAAAAATATTGATCATCTTTTAAACATTCAAAAAGCTATCTGTAAAGTTTAATTTTAGTTACTAAAAGATAAATAATACTAAGAATATCATATAATAAAAAGTTCCTTTGCTTATTATACTTGTATATGTTAATAATAATAATCAGAAACACAAAATTAATACTTGCATCTTTACATCAGACTTAACAGATTTAAAGAAAATTTAAATTTAAATTTAAAATTATTAATTTAGTCAAATCAAAGAGATTTACCTTCAGAAAGTGAACAAATGTTAACTTCACCACAATTTAAATAAAATTGATTTCAAATTTCTTATTTATAGCATTTTTAAATCATAAACAATTTAGGAACTCGATTCAAAAAAATGAGCTATTGAAAGATCCGAAACGCAAACATTACAATCAGATTTAAAAGTGTCATTATTTAAAATTTCCCAGCAAAAAGGCATGTTCTACTTAAAACGCTATATGAATGCAAAACTATAATTCCGATCATGCATGTGATTCCGTTTGGAAGAACAAAATATGTAATCAAAATGGCGAATGACGATGCCATCTGATGGGCTAAAATAAAACATAACCAAAAACCAAATAATTAATGATGTAATAAAAAAAAAATAAAAATAAAAATTATAAAAACATAGCAAATTAAATAATTATACACGAAAATAAAGGAATAAGATCAGAATATTTTCTTAAAATTACTTATCAGTAATTCTTTAAAATATATTTATTATTCATATTTAGAGTTAGGCAAAGTTCAGCTATTTGGAAATACCGATTAAGCTATGAATTTGGACAGGAGCTGAAAGCAGTTGTAATGTTGTCTATTTCTGAAATTAAATTGCATCTGTAATAGTAACGAGGTTGCGGCCGAAGTTTTCATATGTAAAACGTGAACGTCGAGAGCCGCAGCCTTGCTAATAGCGGATACACGACGTGTCGGTTATGTTTTCATTTACCTGTTATTAAAATGAGAGTATTCAAATTAAAAATAATCGAACATTAAGCAGTTGAACTATAAAATTTTTTTAGATTAAGAGAATTATTAAAATTAACAAAGGGTAACATTTTAAAACGATACGAATAAATAACGACAATCATTTCTATCAAAACATGTACAGCACAGGCCGGATGGCCGAGCGGTCAAGGTAGCAGCCTACCGCTCTGGTAGACTCCGGGATCGAATCCGGACGGGTCAAGAAATCCCCAGGAATTTTTCGGGGGTGGTCCGCTCGAATATGTCGGGCCCTGTCCCTCGCCACCCGGCCGCCCCACTGTGGGCCTGGCCGAACCCATAATGGGCATGCTATAAGAGGCCCTCCTAGTGCCCATAGGACGGAAAGAGTGTAAAGTACTATTTTATTTTTCCGACTTTTCCAACGATTATCGACGCGACTGTGTGCCGGAAATAGCCGTTCCCTAACGGGTACTTTACGCGGATTCGCGTTAGTGTGCCAGGCCTGGACTTTCAGCGTGCACCGAAATTAAATAATGACCAAGTTTGTCAATAATAAAATCAAATATTTAATTAATTTCTAGTAATAAACTATATACAAAGTTTAGTAAAATCAAACAATAATTTAATCAATAAGAATCAACCCGACAAAACTCAAATCAATCTAGTTTCTAACTTAAATCTATTCCCCTTTGGAATTCGACAAAATTCAAAGACTTAACTTATATACAATAATTCTTATAAATTAAAGATCATAATAGTCACCTCAATATACTAGGAACCTATTTCCTCAACTCTCAAGACTTTTCTCTATTCGTCGATCCACAAATCGAATAACTTCAAAATCGCATTGGAACTATTTGATCCTATCGGACACCTCTCTCGTTCACTGCTACGAAGCTCGTTGCTATCTGGAGTTCACCTCGTTCATCTTCTTCTTTCTTTCTCTGATATGGAGATTCTGGCTGGTCACCTTTTCTCCGATGAACTCTTGTCCGCAATTAGTCAAATCGATGTGTGGGTGCTACGTAACGTTCGAGGGCCTGCACGTGCTGTCTAGGTGAGAGGTCTGTTTATTGTGTACAGGCACAATGAAGTGACGTTTTTCTCAACACTGGGCTAGTTGAATCTTTTATTTAGTTAGAACGTTTTTTCCATACATCAACGTTTCGGGCATCAGCCCCTCTTCAGCTAACTAAATATATATAAAAATATTTAACAGGACACAAATAAAAACCAAAAAACTCACATAAATTCTTTGTAAACCATACCTCACTTCAGCATGGACACTGCACATACAGCAGAAATCAGACTACACTTAGGTTTTTTAACATTTTCAATATCAATTTTTTATCACAATTTTAACTTTACAGGTTAAAAACAAAACCTTTTCTACATTTTATTACATAAACAAGATAAACCCTGCAGATTTTAAAAAACTAAAACTTACAAATTTCAAAAGTCTTTTTTTGCCACCTCGTCGACTGATCCGACAATTTGCATATAGCACTATGTGCCGTAAGTT